AATAATATATTTAACATTTATCTAAATTATAAAGCTTAATAATATATTGACCATTAATGAGCCTACCATTCAAATCCAAAATTGATAGTTACTAAGATGGGTTCTTCCCCGGTCCATCCCCTGCCTCCCCATTCCAGAGGTAACCCTTGTTCTGGATTTTGTGTTAACATTTCCTTTCCTTCTAAAATAATACTTTATTGCATGTTTACAATGCCTAGACAATTTGTTGTTTAGTTTTGTTTGTTTTTAAGCTTAAATTTTAAAAATCTTGCTGTGTGTGATCCTATTGCATAATATTCCATTCTGTGATTATATCACTATTTTTTTTTTTTTTTTGAGTTGGAGTCTCACTCTGTCGCCCAGACTGGAGTGCAGTGGCCGCTCCCGGCCACCGCAGCCTCGACCTGCTGGGCTCCGGCGATCCTTCCGCCTCAGCCTTCCGAGTAGCCGGAATTACAGGCACGCGCTACCACGCCAGGCTGATTTTTTGATTTTATTGTAGAGATGAGGTCTCGCTGCCCAGGCGGGTCTCGAACCCGCAGGCTCAGGCAATCCACTCACCTCAGCCTCCCAAAGGCGTGGGATTACAGGCTGAGCCACCAAGCCCGCCCGCACTATTTATTTATTCTCCTGTCTTTGGTCATTTTTCCCCCTTTCTCTTTTTTTCCTTCCCTCTCTCCCTCCCTCCTTCTCTCACTCCCTCCCTTCTTCCATGCCTCTCTACTGTGACCATTCTGGTGTGTCTTCTGGGGCATATGTGCAAGTTTTTCAACCAATGAATAGAATTATTGGGTCATAGAGCATATGAATGTTCACCTTCACAAGTAAATGATAAATTATTTTTCAAAGCAGTTATATAAATTTGCACTCTTATTAGCAATGTAAAAGAATTTCTATGCATTTACTTCCTCTTTAACATTTGTTACTGTCATATTTCTATTTCTTGGCAGTCATAGATAAAAAGGGTGTTTGGCTGGGCGTGATGGCTGACGCCTATAATCCCAGCACTTTGGGAGGCTGAGGTGAGAGGATTGCCTGAGCCCACGGGTTTGAGACCCGCCTGGGCAACATGGTGAGACCGTATCTCTACAATAAATCAAAAAGTTAGCTGGGCGTGGCGGCACATGCTTGTAGTTCCAGCTACTTGGAAGGCTGAGGTAGAAGCATCACCTGAACCCAGTGGATCGAGGCTGCGGTGACCATGAGTGTGCCACTGCACTTCAGCCTGGGCAGCAGAGTGAGACTCCAACACACACACACACAAAGGGTTTTTTGTTGTCTTAATTTGTATTTCTCTAATGACTAATCAAGCCTCTTTTAATATATTTATTGGCTCATTTCTTTCCTCTTTAATGGAATTCAGGTCACATGTTTAGCCCATTTTTCTTTTGGATTGCTTATCTATTTCTATTTTTTGGATTGCCTTGCCAGAATCAATATATTAATTACATGGGTAGTAAATATTTGCCCATTATATGTGGTATAAAATATATTCTCCCTGTTTATGATTTGCCTTTAACTTTATTGGAGGAATCTTTTTTTTTTGAATCAGAGTCTCACTGTCTCCCAGTCTGGAGTGTTTGAGGAACCTTTTAACGAACACAAATTCTTAATTTTCATGTAGCTTAAATTATCAATATTTTTTGTTAAACACTTTTTTGGTCTTCTTTAATAATTTCTTTTCTACTCTAAATCCAAAAACAATATTTACCTATCTTTTCCTCTAAAGGTTTGGGTTTTTACATTTAAGTAAGTTTTTTGTCCATTTGGAACAGGTATTATTATCTGATATGAGGTTGGGAATCCAATTTTACTTTTTTCTCACATGGACAAAGAGCAGTACCAGCTTCCTTTCACCTTTGACATAGATCACTTTTCCATATTTGTGTGGGCCTGTTTCTCAGCTCTCTATTTTAATCCATTGGTCATTTTGCGTCCTACCCCCACCTCAAAATGCCAATACCATGTTGTCTTAATCATTCCAGTTTCGTAAGTCTTGATTTTTGCTGGGACAGGCTCCCTTGTTCCCACTTTCTTCTTCTTCAGCAATGCTTTGGCTATTCTAGGACCTTTGCAGGTTCACAGCTCTTCCCCAAAATGACATCATAATGTTACTACTAGTTTATAACTTGCTTTTTATTTTTTTGAGTTGGAGTCTCACTCTGTCGCCCAGACTGGAGTGCAGTGGCCACTCCAGGCCACCGCAGCCTCGACCTGCTGGGCTCCGGCGATCCTTCCGCCTCAGCCTTCCAAGTA